AAAAAAAAAAAAAAAAAAAAAAGAATTGAAAGGCAATTACTGATGCTAGTCACCATTCCAAAGTTGACATTTATGGAACGCTCTGTTCCCTCTCGGGATTTATCATGTAAGTACTATTGCTGCCCCCTTTTCACAGATGGGGAGCCTTCGGCTTGGGGGGCAAGGGAACTTGTCTAAGGTACCCCTGGGATTAAAGGCTAGAGTCGGATTGAGCACAGTTTATTCTGAAGCCAACATGTTTTTAGAACTGTATAGTCATATTTACATATATTCCTCACCTATTAGTATATATAATTTGGGCAACCCTGAATATGAGTCTGTAGAACTAATTTCCATATGTTAACTATATCAAGTTTAGGTGAATTTTAAAGAATAAATTCAAACTATAAAAGCATTTTGTTCCATTTCATAAATTTCAACCTTAAACAATAAGAAAAATAGAGATCAAGTGACCCTTAAGGGTATTATGGACACAATGAGTCACTAGAACTTTTCTTTTCCTCTTGGACACCATCTAGAAGGTCGACAGTCTAATAGGATTGCTGTTGGTGCGATCGCTGGTCCTCAGACCTCTTCAAGGCTCAGAACGAGCAGAGTAGAGTGTTACTAATACAAGGCAGAGGTATAAACTTCACCACAACTGCCAGAGACCCCCCCCCCAACAGGGGACTTCTGACCCTGAATCACTGTGCCATTAATGTAGCAATTCATCACTTATTGCCTGGATGTTTCTCTTATTGTCTTGAATTTTAAATTAAATATTATATTGTCATTTACTTGTCTTTCAGCCCTCTAAAGGCCCGATGATGTCTTATAATTCTGGATCTCCCACAGGCCCTAGACGGGCCCTCCTATTATTTGATTTTTTTTCCCCCTTTGACATGAAAGAGCAATGTTTAGTATTCTTTTAACAAATTTTTTGCAATTGGAGTTGTAAAAGTAAAAACTGCTTTTATGCCATCTGTTTAAAAGCTCTTAGCTTTTCCAAATACAGGCAGTATGTAAATTGTAAATGGGCCTTTTCCAAAAGTTATTTCATATATTGATTTTTGGAATTCTGTAAAAATAATATGCATATTGGTTATGTTTCCACATCAAACTACACAAGAGCTATTCAGCCCATCACTTATGTGAAGTAAAATCCTCTAAACCACCGTGGAACCAAATGCTCATTTGTGACACAGTTGCCATGGGACACATGTGCAGGTGTGTGCACCGCCCCCCCCAAGACTGCCCACCCTGCCTGCTGCCTGTGGGCAGGGAGACCCCTCCCCACTCCCCTAGCTTCCCAGTGTGGTCTGGGCCTGGCTGCACCGGGGCGGGCTGTGAGGCCAGAGGGAACTGAACTCTTCCCCAAGTCAGTGAGTTTGCTTCTGCTTGAAGGAGTCAGAGGTGACTGGGGTGACAAGGGGGGATCTGGGGGCCTCCTGGGGACTCCCCAGTGTTGGTGGGGATGCCTGCAAGGTGGCAATTCTTTCTGTTCCCTTTCCTTGCTCCTTTGTTGGGGCTGAGGGGAAGGAACGGCAGAGGATCGGCTGTGGGTTCCCGCAGGGTGACAAGCTGGAATTGCCTCCTCCTTTGGCTTTGGCATCTTGACGGAGGCTGAAGAGAGTTAGAGGGGGAGCTGTGACTAGGCGGTGGCCTCACAGAGTAGAAGGACGGTTTCTTCCTGCAAATCTCCCTCCCCGCTTCCTTCACACTGTGGTGTGATGGGTGGCAGGGAGAATGCATTTCAGGGACTGAACTGGGAACTGCAATTGTAAACATCTGCATGGTGGTAGCAGCGAGGAGGACCGAAAAGAGAGAGGAAGGGAAAATATTAGCAGAGAAGGGGTCATATGTGAAGAACAGGTCCATTTAAATCATACTTTGCCTTCCAAATAGAATGCAAAACCCAAGTTGAGGCCCTCAAATCCATAGTTTACTTTCATAAATGCCATTTTATTTTCTTAAAAAAGGTATATTTTAAAATGTAAATGGTGAGATCCAGATGTGGAATTTTCTGTGGGTAACTCCACTGTGTACACATCAACCGTATAATCGGTTAGGTTTAAGGAGGCCTTGGAGAACCTTCGGTTCATCTTCAATGCAGGGAGCCCAAGGAGAGGCCAGACCGCCTGGTCACACTGCTCTCTGGAGCTCAGGTCCAACAATCTTTTCTTTTCTTCACTTCCCGCTCACACCTCTCTGTAAGGTGTGAACATTGGGTCTGCCTGCGGGAGGTGTGAAAGCAGTGTGAGAGTCTTGCCGGGAAGGGAGGGGATCAGGGTCCAAGCAAGCCAGCTACCATCCCAAGTTGAGCCCTCCCGGGCCATCCAGTGTGCAGCCTAAGGTGGGAGAGACAATCAGGAAGGAAAAGGGCTGCCTGCGATGACAACGGTCACCGGGTATTTCAAGAATCTGTGATTGGTGAACTCTGTCAACTCTAGTAACAAGCAAATAGACTGCCCCACATAGGTATTTTATCTTTTATTCTCTTCCACAAGTACAGGGTATTTTTCGTTGTTGTTTTTTGGGCTTTTCTTTTTTTGTTTTGAAACAGAGTCTGGCTCTACTGCCCTGGCTAGAGAACAGTGTCGTCGTCATAGCTCACAGCAACCTCAAACTCCTGGGCTCAAGCGATCCTCCTGCCTCAGCCTCCCGAGTAGCTGGGACTACAGGCGTGGGCCACCATGCCCAGCTCATTTTTCTATTTTTTACAGAGATAGGGTGGGTCTCACTCTTAGGCTGCTCTTGAACTCCCGACCTCAAACGGTTCTCCCACCTTGCCTCCCAGAGTACTCACAAGTACAGTTTTAACTATGTTTTTGGAACCAGGAAAGTATTATTAAAAAACCAAAATAATGGGTAAAAGCATCTGGAATAAAAACATTTTGAGTAAATATCATTCCTTTCACCCAACTCTCTCTCAAGTAAAATCAAATATTTCATTGAAAGAAGTGAAAAATAAAAGCCAATAAGATGATTCACAAAAATTAAAGATCAGTTATTTAAAGCTAGGTGTGGGGAATTAATTCAGCTTATAATTGAAACCCAGGTTTTAAGAAGAAACATTTAAATTTTGTTCAAGTTTGAAATTCTTCAGAGTACATTATACTATGGGCCAGGATTCCTCCCTCACAATGAAACATGATCATGCCAGAAAGTAAACACTACCTTCTCTGTGGGCTTTCTTTTCCTTGTTTAACTTTAGTGGCATAGTCAGGAACAATTGAAAGGGGAAATTCTGAAACATGTAGCTCCAGTGATTTTTTAAAAAATTCTAAGGCAACTTTTTTTGGGGGGAATCAGAGGGTGGGGTGCGTGCAGCGGGTAGAGTGTCAAAAGGGCTCCACTAAGCTAAGGGCACAGGAATAGGCTTCACTCAAGTCCCCTTGCCCTGCTAAAAAACGAAGCAGGTGTCAGAGGGGTGGACCTTTTGGCTGGGATGGAGACCGGCACAGATGAAGCCTTCTCTGCTTAGGGAGGAAATTTGGCATTAAGAGGACCTCACCGAATCCCAATAATAACCAAACAACTGCTGTCCAGGGCACCGGGTGGAAAGTGGGAGGCAGGAAGTAGGAAGGCTCAAGCTCCTTTCCCTGGGCCGGTCCAGGAGTTTAATTTCAGCAATCGTTCATGGGGGCGCGGTGCTAAGCCCGGGGATGTCACGCTGAACGAAGTGTGGTCTTGCCCTTGAAGAGCTCACAGTTCCGTGGAGGGGCTTGAACATCCCTCGCGGATAACTTCTTTCCTGGGAGATGCCAAGGGAGAGTTGCATCGAAATCCACCCACGCTTTTGTAAAGATTTCAAAACAGAGACAACAAGACACGGGACAGGGGTGGAGGAGAGACGGCCGGGGCACTGGGAGCTGCCTGCGGGTGGGGGCGGCGGGGACGGTCCCCGCGCTGGCGCCCTGGGGCTCAGCCGGGCCGGGCGCGCGGGCGGGATGCGGGGCGGTCCCGGCTCGGCTACCTGGGGCTCTGGCCCGCGGCCCGGGTCCTCCCCACCAGCCACGGCCACGTCCGGGCCGGCGGAGCTCCAGACGCCGCGGGCGGGGGCGGGGGGGGGGGGGGGCGGGCACGGGGGACGCGGCGGCCCCGCCCCCTCCTCTCCGCCCCTGCGGAGCCCGAGCCGCGGGCAGCATGGACCGGAGCCCGCGGCGCCGGCACCATGGCGCTCGCGCGCTTGGCGGTGGCTCTGATCCTGGGGGCGCTCCCCGAAGCGGTCGGCTCCGACCCGGTGCTCAGGGATCCCCTCCACCACCGCCACCGCCTTTCGCCCCCCGCGGGTCCCCGGTACCCTTCTTACCTCCCCGCCCAGCAGCGGCCACGGAGGACGCCTCCGCCACCCGCCGTCCCGCGCGCCCCGCGCCCGCACCCCGGGGGCTGCCCCGCCGGCCAGCCGGGGGCCAACGCGACGGACCTGGGCGCCCCGTGTCTGCGCTGGGCCGAGGTGCCGCCCTTCCTGGAGCGGCCGCCGCCGGCGGGCTGGGCTCGGCTGCGCGGGCAGCGCGACAACGTATGCCGGAGCCCCGACGGCGCGGGCAGACCCTGGTGCTTCTACGGGACCGGCCGCGGCAGGGCGGACTGGGGCTACTGCGGCTGCGGGCGCGGTGAGCGCGGGCGGTGTTGCGGGTTTGCGGGTGATGGGGCCGCCGCCGAGTTACCAAGGAGGTACTTGGGGCGTAAGTCAGCCAGGTGTGCTGTGTGTGAAGGTTGTCAGGGGTGACAGTGTCCCTGCAGGGTGCTGAGCTCTGGGTTTCTGGATATGCTCTGTCTTCTGGCCACTCTGTGTGCATGTGTGCGTGCGTGCATGTGTGCGTGTGTGCATGCGTGCATGTGTGCGTGTGTGCATGTGTGCGTGTGTGCATGTGTGCGTGTGTGCATGTGCGCGCGCTCACTGGGTGGACGTGTGTGCATTGGGTGTCTGTTTTCTAGATCACCTTGCCTTGCCTGGAGGCTGTGACCGTATTTACATAAAGGGGGCAAAGCAAAAGAGGAGATCAAGTTGTATGATACTTGTGTTGGAAAGGGAAATATTACACATAAAATGACAATCAGTAACCTTCCCTCCTTTCTTTATACCCTGATTTGGCAAAGTGTGGTAAAATTTTTGCCTTAATCCCACCATTGATCCCTATTTGAAAACATAGGGCAAAATTCTGGGGTCAAAATGCAATGCTATTTACATTCTTGGGTGCTGTGTGGTAAATATCATTAGTGAGTGAAGAAAAAAGAACAGGAAAGTAGATAAGAATGGTAACTCTCTTAGTGAACAAGCAACTTGATCTAGGCATGCAGTTTCCTAGATTGCCATCACTTAGTTTTATTTGTTATTTGTGGAAAATTGGGATTAGTTGGCAACGTCAGGAGATAAAGTTGGGAAGATATTTTAGGTTTAATAAATATTTTAGGTAGTAATAAAAGCATCACATTAATAAATTTAATGCAAATGAATAATCTGCCTTTGGACAGTGCTTTATTTAGAATTGTTGGGATTTTGTTTAATGTTAGGTTTTTTTTTCCTTTAACAACTGAGGAAGAAAAACTTTATGTACTTCAAAGCTTGAATTTCCCTTCAAAAAAATTTTTGGCAGCTTTCCATCCAAGCTGTGGGGCAAAGGATTCATGAGTTGAGATCCTGAAACACGTACGTTGTACCTTTTGGGGGTAACTTGGAGGTTAGCTTTCACAATGTCATTCTTTCCCTGCAGAAATTCATTTATCTGTGCCTTCAATTGCATTAGTGCTTTGAGTTAAGGGGAAGCGGTAGGAAGGAAGGTTAAGATCAATTATCCTTCATCCTAGAGAATGAAGTCATCGCTGTACTCATGTTTCATGGACAGAATGCCAATGTGGCTATAAAGAATTTGAGGTGATATCAAGCAAAGAGCCCTGGCATTGTCTCATTATTTACTGTAAGAGATTATTTGCATAAAATCTCATATTTAGCCAACATTGACATTTTTTTGCCTTCATTTTTAAACAAAATCCCAACAATTCAAAATGAAGCACTGTTCAAAGGCAGATTATTCATTTCCATTAAATTTAGTAATGTGATGCTTTTTTTATTACAAACCTAAAATATCTTCCCAACTTTTTATCTCCTGATGTTGCTAGCTAATCCTGATTTTCCACAACTAACATATAAAATTAAGTGATGGCATTCTTAGTTTTAGAGCTAAATATTGGTGGAAAATTATTGGGAAATAATTGTGTAGGAAAGAATATACAACTTCTCCTAAAATGTATATAAGCACATACTCAGAAAAAGGGAATTCGAAGTTAAAAAATTATAGTGATCTAGAGGGATAGACATTTGGATAGGATGGAGAGTGCTCTTTCGGACACATAACTCAGCTTCATGTTCCAAATGAAAGTAGCTGGTCTTTGGATTCCCAACCACCCCACCCTCTTAAGTGAATAGAAATTTAAATCTTTTCAATGCCTTTTGTTCATAGCTAACTCTCACCAGACAAAACCTTAAACACTGCACAATAGTTGTATTTACTTCCTGGAATAAAGTGATCGAACACAAGAGAAACAAAAGAAACCACCTAAGATGGGAGAGAAATGCCCTCCCTACCACCACAAAAAATAGGAGCAATCAGCTGTGTAATAATCAAATTGCTCCCACAGACTCGATCTTGGTAACCAGAGCTTCCCATTCCGTCATTTACTCCTCTCGGTCTGGTAGGGCATAACCCGTACCTTTGAGATGACTGACGTGTTCTGAACCTTGTGGCTTTCTTGGACCTACATTTCAGCGGGAAAGACAGCATCGTGGAGTGGTGGAAAGAACATTGGATTGTGCTTTAAAAGCACTGCTGTCTGCTTTGGCTGTGCCAGTAGCTGTGTGCTGTTGGATAAGACTCTTAACTCCTAGAGCTTTGGTTTCTTCATCTGGAGAAAAGCAGATTTTGAATAGATTAATTTAAAAGATTTTTCCAGCTCTGAGCATGTGCACAAAACAAGCTGGCCTGGTGACAGCAGCAAAGACCTGCTGAGCATTCACTCCGTGCTGGGTGCTGGACTGAGCATTTTATGCACATGTTCTCTCTCACTTCTCAACGCCATCTCATAAGGGAATTCCTGCGTTTTACTGATGAAAATACCAGAAGGCGTATTACCAGGCATGCAGGAGAAAACAGGGTTGGATATGTACATTTTCACTTCACAGCTCATTTTGCTCTAGTTCTGTACTTGTAAACACATGTAGAAATCTCTGTGCTGTCTAGCAATGCTCATTTTGTAGTTTATGGACTAGTCTAAAAGGAAGAGAGGAAGGGAATTATGTTTGAGCCAATGCACATGATTTCCAGTCTTTTATGCTTTAAAAATATCTAGTTTTTTTTCTTTATCAAAAACCAGAGCAAAACAAAAGAACAATTTATAGTAATTGTTTAAAAAATAAACAGGTGGCCAGAGTCGTGCATCTAGTTGCATCGAGAGAAATGAGGAAGTTGGTGCCCTCGTGGTGAGAGTTGGTTGAAGCCAAGTTGAAGGGCAGGGCGTGGATGTCCCAGTGGCTCAAATGGCAGAGAGCAGGAAAGGTGATGATGCCTGGGCCTTGTTTTATGAAACTTGCAAATTATAATTTTCATAAATATTCATTCTGGGGATTGGAATACCCTGAATCAGCCCAGGGAATTAGTTTTCATAATGAGTGTTAGAATCCCCTAGAGGCTTGCTAAAACACAGATTCCTAGACTGTAGCCCCAAAGACCCTGAATAATTCTCAGATCTGGGTCAGGAATGGAATGTGCATTTCTATGTAAACTTACCATTGCACCAGCCATCCCACTACTGGGTATCTACCCAAAGGAAAAGAAGTCATTTTATCAGAAAGATACCTGCACTTGAATGTTTATTGCAGCACAATTCACAATTGCAAAGATGTGGAATCAACCCAAGTGCTCATCAATTCATGAGTGGATTAAGAAAATGTGGTATATATACGTATATATATACCATGGGGTACAACTCAGCCATAAAAAGGAATGAAATAATGTCATTTACAGCAACTTGGATGGAAACGGAGACCGTGACCCTAAGTAAAGCATCTCAGGAATGGAAAGGCAAACACCACATGTACTGTCTAATAATTGGAAACCAATCAATTGGCACACGTGGGCATAAAGAGATGTAAAAGTCATTGGAAATCAAGAAGGGGGAGGGAGGAGAATGGGAAGGGTAAAAACCTACCTGTTGGGTACAATGAACACTATTCGGATGATGGGCACACTGAAAGCCCTGACGTAAGCATTATAAATGGTATCTATGTAACAAAAACATTTGTGCTCTCGTAATATTTTGAAATAAAAAAAAAAAGAATGTGCATTTCTAATGAACAGTCGAGGTGATTTGGATGCTAAAACCCTCTGTCACAGTCAGGAAAAACCCCTGGGAGTCAGGACTCACCTAGAATGCATAGTGTTGAGTGATGATGTAGACTGAGTCCACCATTCTCCATTCTATTTTTTTTGTTTTTTTTTGTAGAGATAATGTCTTGCTCTCACTTAGGCTGGTCTCGAACTCCTGAGCTCAAGTGAGCCTTTCGCCTCGGCCTCCCAGAGTGCCAGTATTACAGGCGTGAGCCACTGCACCTGACCGCTGAGCCCACCATTCTGTGACTTAACCCTGCTAGGCTTAGGAGCAGGCATGGGGTGTGCTGATGGTAACTTTTTGTGTGGTTTTAGAAAATGGTGACCCTGGTTTTTATTTGACCAGTGTGGGATAATAACAACCTAATTCTCTAGAATATGGTTATTAACAGAATATGAACTAGGCTGTTTTCACATTTCTACAGGAAGAATCCCTAGGCAACTGATTTCCCCCAGTGATAGCTTGCAGCAGTGCTTCTTGATGAGGAAGGCCATTGCTTTCCCAGTGTCTGGGTGGCAGGGCAGACAGGACAGCTTGCTTGGCAGTGTGCTGGGAACTGCCCTTTTTTACAAGCAGCCAAGTGGAACTCCACCATAGGTGGCTGATGACTGAAGGGTAAAACAGGCAGAATAATGATAAAGCTCTAATAATTGAGATTTTACAGGAGAGAATGATTCATAGATCTTTTTGTCACGTCATGCTAATCTGTTCATGTGCGCCTACCCGCCCCAATTCTCAAATCAAAAGGAATAGCGGATATGTGGCCAAATACTACGGTTTACAGGCTGTACTCTTTGAAGTCCATCTGTTCTTTCAAGTGCATGTTAATTAAAAAGTTAGCTGAGAGCTGTCCTCCCCGCTTTTAATGCTGCATCTTGAATCTATGTAGCAGGTGCTGGAAAACATTTATTAGCAATACCAGATTTGAGACATTTCTTGGCTGAATTTTAAATATTGAGTTCAATCTGCTTTTCAGGCTGAGGCAGATGTAAAATACTTAGATTTGGGGTCATTATATGACTCTTAACTAGTTTGAAGAGTTTTTTTTTTTTTTTAAGATGCAAAAAGATCCATTTACTATTGCCTTTTACGAGCTATTGTTGGGGATGTACATGCTTACATGATCACCGTCGTGGGTGTGTAAGGTAAGCTTTGTGAAAGTCACTTGGCTTAGAACTGTGGGGAGAAACTGAAATAGCCAGTGATAAGGCACCACTCCCAGGTGTCT